ACCTCTCCCAGCGCTGAAGGGCAAAGTGCCGAGCCGCGGCGAGGGTCCGGCCGTGCCACCGCCGGCCTTTCAGCGGTGTCCCCCGCCGAAGGTGGCCCTGAAGCCGCCCCCGGGCAGGAGGTGACCGAGGATGCTCCATCCGCCACGGCGGCCGGCAGAGGAGCGGCACAGCTGGCTGGGTGGCACAGCTGGGCAGCCACCGTCTCGCTCCCACCCTTACTTGAATCGCTGGCCGGAGCCTCGGAGCCTGCCCGCGGTGGGCACCAGTGTTTACAGATCCTCCAGTCGTGCCTTAATGGACTCGGCAGCCGCACGGCTGTCCCAGGGGGAGCCGTCAGCAGGACACCAGCAGCGGGGACAGTGCCAGCTCCGGTCTGGAGGGCTGCCCCACGTTGGTCCAGGCTCTCCTGCGCCCTGGGAGCTGCTGCCTTCTCTCCCGACGTCCTGAATGTGTCCTGCTCCTCCTGCCCTTCCCTGCCGGGGCTGCGGAGAGGAGCTCCTGGCATCAGGGGGCAGGAAGAGCCCCGGGAACACCGCCCTGGCCTGGGGACATCACACGGGGGGAATGTCACCAGGGGCTGTGGCAGGTCCAAGCTGGGCTTGGCCTCCCCACGGGGCTTTCATCTCTGGAGTTATTCCTTGAGTTACTGTTCGAAAGGGAATTCCCTGGGAGCCTTTTTACCGCAGCCGTTTATTTATGACCCTTATGTGACCATTTTGAGCCACTTGCTGTAAAACCAGGCTTCCCATTTTTTGATATAATTTAGGTTCAAGGCTTTTATACTAATAAAGACTGAAGGTAGAGGTGTCATGGGGTGTGTCTGGGCAGGAGGGGACAGCGGGGTGGCGGCAGGCAGGGAGCTGTGCGGGGATCACGGAAGGGGGTAAAGGGTCGGAGCTGAACTCCAGCGCTGCAGCCACAGGGGCCAAACTGCAGCACGTTTTGCCAGCCAGGCAGAGCCAGGCTGCCCCAGGATGCTGCACCCCTCATGCTCAGCACCATCCTGGCACAGGCTCCTCACGGGGCTCGCAGCGTGGCAGTCGCTGCAGCCGAGGACATCCACAACCATGCAGTGCTGCTCTAGGGGGAGAGGCAGAGGGGTCCCCCGCTTCACGTGCCACCAGCCCTAGGACACACAGAACCATCCCAAAAAATGGTAACAAAATAATTTTATTCTGCTTTATCAAAAGAACAGTGTGAATGTAAACCTGACCGTATGTATCGTGTTTCCTTAAGGAGATGCGCATCCAGGGGCAGACCCCCTTTAGTCACAGGCCCACGCAGGCCGTGGGAGCGGAGAAAAAAGCCAGTTCAATCCCAAAATCCTGGCTGCAGCCACGTCCCTGCTCACAGCTGGGGCTCAGAGGGCAGCACAGCCCAAGCCAGGGTGCCAAAGCCGTGGCCACCCCCTCCTGCACAGGCTGGGGCTGCTGCAGCGGGGCCGGGGAGGCAGGGGAGGGTAGAGGAGGCTGCTGCAGAAGGCACTGGGCATCACACATGCTGCTGCAGGACCTGGGTCAGGGGGAGCAGCCCCTGGGGTCCCTCACACCACACAGGCAGGTGGCTGATGCATACAGAGGGACACTGAGCCACCGACAGCCGCTTAAGGCAGTCATGCACCCAGCCAGGGAGGCACAGCAAGGCTCGGATCCAAAGGGAAGCAGCTCTTCCTGCACTGGCCTGGAAGGCTTTCCTGCTCCCTGCGTGGACATCTCGTTCTGACCACTGCAGGAGAGGTGTGAACTGCCTGGCTATTGCTCCCAGCAGTTCCCCTCGTGCCCTTGTCACTTCCAGGCTGGCAGAACCTGCTCTGTCCAGCCATTCCTGGTGCCCAGAGTGTCCAACCCCAGTGACACACAAAGAAAATCACAGAGTCTACATCCCTGCCACCATTCCCTCCAGCAGTGCTTCTAGCCTATAAAGTCTGCCCTCATCCCAAAATCTGACCAAAGCAGGTGCTGCTGGGGTGAGGAGAGTGTGTCTGTGCCAAGGGCCTGCTGCAACACTGAGGAGGGGGCAGGGCAGAGATGAGACTACACTCCTTCCTCAAAGCCCATCCCAGAGGAAAAATGGGGACCCTGCAAGCCAAGGAGCATTTCCAGGAGACATTTCAAACATTAAGAAACACACTGCCACTGCCTCTCTGCCCTGGTGCCCTGTTCCCTGGCTCCTGCCATGGCTGGGTTCCTGGGGCAGAGCACTGACTGAGCCCCGAGAGTTTGCAGGCAGATGGAGGACAAGAAAGACCACCCAAAACTGCTGCAAAGTCCCACAGTTATGTCTTACACCCTGCAGAAGGGACAGGGCCAACACAAGCCTGCTCTGCCCCAGAGATGGAGGAGAGGCAGGCAGGGCAGGGCAGGGCCAGCAGGAGGCACTGTGTGCTCCTGAACTTCCCTGTGGAGGGACACTGCCATCCCTTAAAGCCCTTAAGCCACACAGGCTGGGGATGCAGCACTGCAAAACCCACACACCTCCTCTGGGGACATCACTAGCACAGGTAAAGCCGGTTTGGGTTGAATGTTTCTCAATAGCAGAAGTTAAACACACCCTTCCCCTTGCTGTGAGGCTGCAGATGGAGCCAGGGACAGAGGATCTCAACAGGTTGAGTGCCTGGAGCATCACCACCCCCCAGCCCCTCCAAGGGTGGCACAGCTGCTCTGAGGGGACGGGACAGCGGGAGGGATGCACAGGGAGAGGTCTCTGAACATGCAGCAGGCAGTGCTGGGGTGCTCCCAGCTGGAGAACAGCATTCCAGCTCTTGCCAGCTGCTTCCCCAGCCACTGCACCCCGGATCCCCACAGAACACGACGAGGGGCAGGTCCTAAAAGCAAGCACATCCTCACAAGCAGAGGGAACAAGGAGGAAAAGCGGAAAGCAGGTTTTTCCCAGCAGATTCCCCCCTCCCCGAGCACCTCTCCCTCACCCTGCCACAGCACACCAGGAGCAGGGTCAGATATATCACAGCACAAATCAGGACTGAAGATCCATCTGCCAGCAAGCCTGGCCAGGGGTGAGAGGACCAGGGACACACTCCTTGCCATGGCTGTTCAGGGACATACAAAGCAGGCCCCACTTCCTGGAGCAGTGGATTTTGCATGGAAGAGCAGCAATGCCTCACCTACTTTGCTGCTGAAGCGTCAAACATCTGATCTGCTGCACAGCAGGGTCCTTTCGCTCTCCTCTTCACTTTGCCAGCACGGCAGAGCAGTGGAAATTCAGCCCCCTTTCCCTGGTGAATGACTTCCAGGGAGGCTGGAATTTGAGCAAAGACTGGCCAGGCTCTGTTCCCAACCAGCTGCTCCGAGGTGCTCCCGGTATCTGCTTCAGGAGGCAATGAGACTCAGCCACCCAGTGGGAGCACCACAGTCAGTCCCAGGCAGCCAGTGCGAGGCTCTTGCTTGGAGAGGGGGGTTGCAGGATCCCTTCAGAGGTTGCTTCCTCTGAGTTGTCATCTACCACTGCTGTCTACAGGAATACTGTGGCTGTGCAGATCCTACTTCAATAACCTATTCCACAGCAAACCACTCCTTGCCCTGAGCAGGAACACGCTGGCCAAGGAGAGTCCACTCCACTGGAGTCCTTGAGGAGAGCGAGACGGCGTCAGCAGAAACCTTCACCAAGCCAAGCTTCAGCGGCGGGACAAGGGGAACCTCCTCTTCACTCAGCCTCAGTCAGGAGTGCTGAGCAATGACAAGTGTGCAGCCACACAGCACTCAAAGCCACATCTTCCTGCAGAGCAGTGCCTGCTAAATAACTGCACCTACCCCGGGAGGCTTTCCTGCTGTCTGTCGTTTAATATTCCAGTATAGGTATGTTAGTACAGGATTATCCCTCCTTTGGAAGCACCAATTTAACAGGGGGAGAAACAGAAGAGGCAGAGCCCTTGCAATCTGTTGCTAGAAGAAAATCAACCCAACTGCCACCTATACACAAGATGTCCAGGCATGTGCTGCATCCGCCCCACCGACACAGGGCCTCGTCCCCGGTCACAGCCGGGCTCGCTGCTGAGCTACACCGGGTTCCCTTCTGCCTCCCTCAGCCAGTGCTCTCCTCGCCTCTGAGGGGGCTTTCTCCAGAGGTCTCTGGGGCTCCCTGTGCAGGAAGGCTGGTTTCATGGGCAGTCCTCAGGTTGGCCTGCTGGAAGGCACAGGAATCCAGGAACATGCTGGGGATGCGGTCGCCGAAGTACAGCTTGCTGTTGGCAGCTATCGCCTGGTACTTCATCAGCTCCAGATACTCAGGGGTCAGCTTCAGCTGCAAAGAACAGAAACCAGAGACTATAAGAGAACTTTCTGAGCCCTGCAGCGCTAGGTTTCATGTCAGGCAGCCACCTCCTTGTGTTAGATCAAGTGTTTTTCCAGCACTGCCCGGCTGAAGCTGATCTCCTGTGCGGAGGAAGAGTGAGTGACCACCTTCCCAGTGCTCACCTTGTTGGAGTCAGCCAGCTTCCGGGCAGTGTAGTACTCTGCATCAGCTTTTGCCTTCTCCCTTGCCAGGAATGCAGCATCTAACACAGCAGCAGAGGAGGGACAGGAAAGAAAGCATTAGGAAGTGAACAGCCCCATCACACTGGGGCTCAGTGAGCCCTCATCCCATGGACACCCGTGACAGCCTGCTCCTGTCCTGCAGCTTCCTGGAGAGCTCCATGCACAGGGCAGGAACAATCCCAGGGCACAGCCTTGCACCCTGCAGCACCCTCAATGACTTTAGCAGGCCTGAGGTTCCTCCACCTGCCACCAGCCCCAGCCAGCAGACGGCCCCAGCGGGGTGGTTACCTTCAATCTCAGAAATCCGCTTCTCCGTTTCCTTCTCCATGATCTTCTGCTGGTAGTGAATCCTGGCCACCTGTGCAGCCTTCTCTGCCTCTGCAATCACAACGGGCTCAGCTGGGAAATTTGCTTCTCAGGGCTTGAGACCAGCACCCTGAGCCCAGCAGCTGGCTGCAGGGTCTGCCACAGTAGGAGCTGGTTCCCTGCTCCCTTCCCTTCCCTCTCAGTGCCAGTCTGTACTCCGAGCAGCAGAGTTACAGGAAGAAAACACAGTGCTGATGTCTGCAGAGCTGACATCCCGTTTACAAGAGTGATCCCTCTGGCACAGGGACATGGAGCTTCAAGCTCAAGCAGTCTTTCCAGCAGAGTGGTTTCCTCTGTCCCTGCTGCAGGACAGAGGTGCTCCCTGCTCTGCTGCTTTGGGATTTTCACTCAGATATTCAAAACAACTGCTTGTGCAGCCTGACTGTGCCTCCCTCGGGGAGCTGTCAGTGATGGAAATGTCCTGCCCCAGCTCAGCAGGGAAGGCAGGAATGGAGGCTCAGCCTGTGCTGGTGACATTACCAATGAGCGCTTTCTTCCGGTCTGTCTCTGCCTCCTTCTCCACCACCTTCTGCCTCTGGGCTGCAATCAGCAGCTTGGTCTTCTCAGCCTCCCTGCAAGGGGAGAAGTGTTATCCTGGGCAAAGGGAAGGAGGAGCAGCTCTGCATGCCAGGAGAGGCCATGGGGACAAGGGGCCAGCCAGCTGCCAGCTCCCTGCTCACAGCTGTGGGGACTGGCTCTGTCTGCAGCTGTATGAGCACGTGCACAGCCCAAAGGAAGGGATCAACCCCCTCTCCATCTGCTAAGGCCACATCTGGATACAAGTCCAGCCTGAGGCCCTCAGGACAAGGAGCAGAGCAACATGGGCTGGGAGCTGGGCTTACTCAACCAAAGGTGAAAGGAGATCCAACAGCATCTCCTTCGTCCCAAGGGCATCCCAGAGATCCTGGAGGGGAGCTTATGGGCAAGACATTGAGACCCCTGAGCCCTGATTTCAGTATGAAAATGGAAAACAGAAGGCATAAGTGCACCTGGGCCAAGCACACACTCCCTAGAGCTCACCTCTCACCCCCCAAGCATCAGGAAAGAGCTTTCCAACGGCACTGTGCCTGTGCAGGACCCTCAAAACTAATTAATGCAATTTCATGTCCAGCTACTCACATTAGTTCAAAGTTTCTTCGGATGGCCTCTGGAATTTTGGGTTTTGTAACTCGCACAGCCTGTGAAAGGAGAAAAAGGGAGCACGTTTGGAATGCAACATTTGGATGCAATCCGAAGATTAAGACATCTCTTTGCAAAACCAGCTGCAGTGCTGTGGACAGTGGTGTCCAACCCTCCTGTGTAACACAGCTGAGCATGGCCACGCTCCCAGAGGTGCCCTACATTTTTGTTTCCTGCCATCCCTTCCAACCCACACTCCCACCAGGGGCAGAGCTCGTCCAGCCTGGCCTTGGACACTTCCAGGGATCCAGGAGCAGCCACAGCTCCTCTGGGCACCCTGTGCCAGGGCCTGCCCACCCTTAGCATAGAACATTCATCTCTCTGTTTAAAACTGTTGTCCCTTGTCCTGTCACTGCAGGCTTTGGCAAAAAGTCTTTCTCCACCTTTTTAAATATTTCCTTATTGAAAGGCCACAACCCACCTGGATAGTGAGACCTGGTGCCATGACATTGAGGTCTTTCTGCAGGGCCAACTTCAAGTTCTCATCTATCTGATCTGTTTTTGGAGGACAAAAGAGAGACTGATTGGTTCATCATATTTTCCCCCATAGCTTGTGTGGCAGAGTCAGCAGGCCTTGAAGTCATGTGCTAGTGACTAGAAAAGTTCAGCTGTTGATGATTTTGTATTTTCTGAACTAAAGGCAAATGGCTTTCAGCATCTCAGCAAAAAAAGAATGCTCAGAGCCTGTGGTAGAAGTCTATCCCTTCTCAGCACTCAGACTTGGAGTACATTTTTATTACAATTCTGACAACCTTTTATCTTCCATAAGCCATTTTTCCCCTGCTCAGCCACTCAAGAAGGAACAGAAACTGTTCTGTCTTTAGAGCACATATCCACCAGGGAGAATATGACCTGTGCTAATTCCTGAAGCACTGTGAAAAACCCTCCAGCTCTCACTTGTTAGAGACAGCCAGAAGGAAGCTGTAAAAGTACAAAAGTGAATCCAGCAACAGAGAAAGGCAGAAACAGAACAAGACAAATCCACTGTCACAGCAAAGGCCACAGGCATCACTGCATGTACAAGAGCAGAGTGGCTGCTGTCTGCATCCAGAGTAGGTGGAAAAAGACTGAGATCAAATTCCCACATGCAGATGGGGAAAGACAAAGACACCTGAGTCACTGAAGTTACAGGGAAAGTGGCACATGGATGTTAAAGGAGCTGGATTCTTGGAGCACAGGGACAGCGTGGTCCAAGGGGCCGGCTGTAAGATATTCCAGGAAGGTTGCAGTGGGATCCCAGCTGGGATCACCCAGCTGCCATCCACTTACCAAAGAGCTCGATGTACACCTCCTGCAGGGTGTGGGCACTGCAGAACTGATTCAGCTCGTGGTGGATTTTGTTGAAGATCAAGGTCTTGTCGTAGTCTGCGGTGTAATTCCTCACGATGTCGTACACTGGGGAAGGGAGAGAATCACCACAGGTCACCACTGGCACGTGTCAGGATGCCAGGGAAGCAGTGCAGCACTGGGAAAACACTGGTTTTCAGGACTTGGGCAGCCAAAGCCACAGCTGCCCTGCCCAGCTGTCAGGGAGAAGCCTGCTGCACATCCACTAGTGCTGCATGGATTACACAACTTCAAGGAGCAGTCATGGAAAGATGTACTGCCTGGTCCTGTTTTATCACCTGCATAAACAAAGGAAACAGCAAAGCCTCACCAGGACCTGCATGCATAGGAACAGGTACTGCTGTAAAGTGAAAACAAGGATCATTCCCACAATTTAAGCCAACCAGATCCTGCATCAAAAGGAGCGTGGCCAGCAGGTTAAGGGAGGGAATTCTGCCCCTCTGCTCCTACTGAGGCCCCAGCTGGAATCCTGTGCTCAGGTCTGGCCTGCTCCCCCCCAGCAGAAGGAGGGCATGGAAGTGTTGGAGCAGGTCCAGAGGAGGCCATGGAGTTCCTGAGGGGACTGGAGCAGCTTCCCTCTGGAGCCAGGCTGGGAGAGCTGGGGCTGCTCAGCCTGGAGAAGGGAAGGGTGTGTGGAGACCTCACAGCTCCTTCCAGGGCCTGAAGGGATACAGGGAGGCTGGAGAGGGACCCTGCATCAGGAACTGGGGTGACAGGACACAGGGAATAGGTTCAGACTGACACAGGGGGAATTTAGGTGAGATATATGGAAGAAATTCTTTATGGACAAGTTGGTGAGGTCCTGGCACAGGGTGCCCACAGAAGCTGTGGCTGCCCCTGGATCCCTGGAAGTGTCAAAGGCCAGGCTGGATGGGGCTTGGAACAACCACTTGGGATAGTGGAAGGTGTCACTGCCCATGGCAGGAGGTGGAACAAGATGATCTTGAAGGTCCCTTCCAGCCCACACCCCTCCATGACTATAAATTACAACAGGAATTCACCCTCCAGTGCCTCAGCAATGCTGGAGTTTTGCATGAAGCTGTGCAGCTGAACAAAACAAGCTGTCTGTGTCTTTGGCTAGGTGAAATAAAAAGGCAAGAGGCTCCTACACAGGTTTTGTCTCTGCAGTTTTCTCAGGAGCCGAGCTGGAAGCACCTGGGATCAACGCTACAGGGCTGGGAGCCATAAGGGTAACAAGAAATGGAAACAGACAGGGAAGTTTTCCTGGCATGGAAAAAGGAAGACCTGAAAACCAAGACAGAGCTGCCACAGGGTGAGTGAAGACAGTCCCAGCTCTGCCTGTTGAACCAGGATGGGAAATACCTGCATATGGAGCCAGCTTATTCACAACTTCTATTCGGTCAATGTAGATCATAACACCACCACTGCAAGGAAAAGAGAGTTCATCAGTTACCACTGCAGCTGTTAACAGTTAACATATTTAAAGCAAAGGCACCTTTATCCCTCTTTTACTACATTCTGAGCATCTTGCAATGAGATGGCAGCGAATCCCTGCTCTCTGCATAAACCACAAGCATGCTCCAGCAAGCCTGAAAGCACTTTCCTTCCCCTCTGTGATTTCCTACTCAACCAGCCAAAGGAAAACGTTTCTGAACAGGAATGCAGCTGCAGCTATCAGGAAAACAGAGGGAAAGGCAGCAAGGGCAGCAGGTGACACAAAATGCAGACACACCTCTGCTCTTCTAGGCAGCAACACATTAAACAGAACAATTAAACAGAAAAAAACTCTTGGTTTGATTCACACAATCACTAACTCCAGCAGGAGCTTGGCAAGGCCCAGGAGAAAGGAAGGAACAAAGCCCATGGCAGACTTCAATCCATGTTCCCAGCTCCAGTGTCACAGTGCACGTGGCTCTCCAGGAACACCACAAGCACTTTAGCAGAGGCAGCCTGCAGGCAATCCTCTCCCTGAGGGAGGGTGTGCTGCCAAACTGGCAGGGAAAAGCGGGGGAATCAGGGGTCAGGCTTGTCCCCAGCCTCTGCTCTTATCTGGTGTGACTTTCAGAAAGTCATGCCCACCCCTGGGTACCTGTAACACCAGAGAAGAGCACAAACTCTACACTGAAGAAAAAAAAAAAACCCTTAACTTTCAACTGCCCTAAGTCTCTTGAGAGCCTAATTTTAAAGCAGAATACTCTTGTGATGATGTCCTTGGGTCAAAGGCATATCACAGAGCAGAAGCTTCAGCAGGAACTGTTTAGAGACAGCTCATTCCTGGCAGTGGAACTCCCACATTTCCAAACTCAGTCCCTGTGATGCTTTAACTCAAACATATCCCCCACGACAAACTCCAGTTGCTATTTTGCAGATCTTGATCTCTGGCAGCTCCAAGCCAAGTCTGCAGAAAAACAACCTGAACTTGCCTGTGGCTGCTCTTTTGGAAAAGGCTTCCCAAGCCCAGCCCGTGCTTGCTCCAAACCTGCTTCATGACAACTATGAGCTAAAAACACTGGTGATGGATGACTTTATCTGCTGCAAACCTGGCATTTCAATTTTAAAGGGATGCTAGAAAGAAAAAGAGAGTGTCTGCAACACCCTGGATCCTCTCAGGACTCATCCACAGCCCCGAATCACCTCTCTGGCAGGAAAGGGTCTGAAATGGCACCTCAGACCACTGAGGATTGTCTGACTTTACCACCACCTTCCACAACAACCCTGCCGAGGATCTCAGCCAGTCTGGGACAATAAGTGGGATATTATCCACTGTTATTCCATTATTATGACTAATTCATAATGATGTGGTGTGGTGGGGGATAAGTAAATTTTATCAGTCCTGCTGGTCATGCCATTTGAGGAAACAGGTGCCACTCAGACCCCAAAGTCTGCAAGGAAGAGAGGAACAGGAAGAAATCCACGTTGGAAAGAGAAATCCATAAAAGGAGGATCAACACATACACTGGCAGAAATTTAAGCATAATTAGGCAGCCAGTGCTAATTATGGCAGCAGTTAATGTTGCCAGGTACAAACAGGTAAGGCAAAAATTGGGGATGGGACACCCACACAGACACTCAAAAGCTTCCCAATATAGATAAGTACACAGGGAACAGGAACATAAAGATGGTGGAAGAGAAACCCAGCCTTTAAAATCTGATGGCTTAATATGTAAATACAAAACCTTGAACTGTTTAGGATCTATTCTGGTAACAGACTTTGAACTGGGACAGTGACACTCCAGGTGTGCTCCACTTGCTATTTATAAGCTCATGTTTTACTATGGAAATGTGGATGCAAAGCTTTGGCATCGAGCAGCCACAGACTTTGGACTCCAAATGCAGTGAACTGAAAGGCTCCAGCAGCAACATCTGAAATATGGACAGGGCTACTGGGGCCTTTGGTCAGGAGTGTATTCAATTATTAACTGAGAGCTGTTTTCACCAGCTGCCTGGTGGTTTAAAGCCCATTTTTACTGCCTGCACCTTCCCAACCACCTGCATTGCACAGCTGAACCCCACAATGCTGAAATTCAACGGGAACTTAATTTTCAGCTCCTAAATCATAGGAGCACAGAATGGCTGAGGCTGGCTCTGGCCTCAACCTTTGTCCTTTTGCTTGGCCTAAAGACTGTTTACCTCACCACAAAAGGACTCTGGACAAGGCCCTGAAGTGACAGGACCAAGGGGAATGGGTTCAGACTGACAGATGGGAAATTCAGGTGAGATCTATGAAAGGAATTCTTGGCTGGGAGGGTGGGCAGGCCCTGGCACAGGGTGCCCAGAGCTGCTGTGGCTGCCCCTGGATCCCTGGAAGTGCCCAAGGCCAGGCTGGACTTTGGGGCTTGGAGCAGCCTGGGATAGTGGAAGGTGTCCCTGCCCATGGCAGGGTGAACACTAACATTATTTACAGATACTCCTGAAAAACCTTTGAGATCTAAAATTAAATTCATGAGACTTTTATCAAGCCCAAAAGATGTCTGATACTGAACAACTCCAAGAAAGTTAATATGGTTTAAACCTGATCAAAATTAACTCTTGTTTTATTAACGTTGCCACTAATGCCCACCTTTTAATTTCAATGTGGTCACTCTGTGCCACCACTCCAGTCAACGCTGTTTTTGTTTTTAAAAACAGGAATTTTGTTGAGGACACTGAATGTAAAAGGCAAGGAGAATCACCAGGGTTTTTTTTACCCTGAAGAGTCATCAGTTTAACTTGTGGATGAACCAACACAACAGGATCCGTAACCCAACTCAACCAGCCCTCTCCTCCTTGCTACAACTCAAGCAGGTCTGTGCTGACAGAAAAATCAGCCTAATTATGCAGCAGGGATTTCATCTGGAAATTAACTCCCCCCAACATCAGGAGGATTCCCATTCCCTGTTTACTTCTGCCCACTGCTGGGGTCAGCACTTGTACCAGCCACAAGATTCAGAGTGGAAATAACCAGTCTGAGGGCAGAGCAAAGCACAAGCAACAAGGGGAGAAACACAGAAAAATTCAGGATAACATCACAATAAATACAAACATCCTCTGAACGGCAATTTCAGCAAGAGCCAACGTCCCCTCCTGTGCCTCCCATTCTGTTATGGTGGGATAGACGCATGTACATGGATTAATTTTATGGCCTTTACTTCCCATTCCCTGTGTCCCAGCACTGCAAATGGCCCCACAGAATGCACCTAGAAGAAATACAAATGGAAGCCATACCTTGTCCCACAAGGCACATTCTTCACTTCATCAGTCTGCAGCGTGGTCTGCAACACAAACACAGCCAGCGCTCACAAACCGCTCCCTTCCCTGGCAAGGCCCTGCTGTGCCCACACTCCCACAGTGGGGGCACAGAGCCAAAAGTGCATCCTCTGCCTCCCCTGCGATGCCTGCAGGTGTGGGAAGAAGGCAAAGCTTCTCCCCACCTCCCTTTTGGGGGATGCAGAAGCAGCTGTGCCTGTTTCCCTGCTTCGGGAACGCTCAGGAACGTGGCGCTCCTGGGGAACAGCGACAGGCACAAACAGGGACTGTCCCCCCTGAGCAGCACACTGCCAGGCCCAGCAACACACACACACCTTCCAAGCTCTCCAAGAGGACAAATCCTGGCTCCCCAGGGGAGGGAGAGGGCACTGACCTGCACGGATTTGAAGGTGGTGATGAACGGGAGCATGATGTGGTAGCCAGGGCCGCTCGGGCTGGTCAGCAGCGCACCGCCCCTGCGGACAGGGAGGAAAACAGGGAAAGGCTCAGGGAGGTGAGAAACGCCAAGGACTGGCTTTGAGGGCGAGCAGAGACACTTCAAACTACCAGGGGTCACAGAGAATTGCATCAGTGCCCTACATTTACCAGCAATTCCCCAACAAAAGGGCCAAGTGCACTGATCTTTGCCTCCTAAACTTTGCGTGAGGCCGGTGAGCCATTAACTCCTGGAGCAGGCAGCTATTGCTAAACCCTGCCAGCATTGCAACACTGCTCAGAGCTGCAAGAACGCTGATTTCTCCTCTCTAAATAGTTCGCTGGTAACCATGGAAAAATCCAGCCGTGGATGTGATACTGCCAGTCTGGATTTGGGCACGGCCCCTCGCCCAAAGCACAAAGAAAAATCCCCCGGGATCTCACGTTCAACACGTTTGTGATTAAAGGGAAACGGTGCTGAGAGGGAAGGGCAGGGAAAACATTCCAAAGGACCGATAAAGAGGGAGCTCCGGCTGGGGAAGAGTTTGGGACAAAGGTGATGGCTCTGGCTGGCACAGGGCGAGATCAACAGATGTGAGAAGGCAGGACAGTCCCAGAGCTCTAAGCTCTGAAATCCAGCTTGTGAAAAGAGCAGAGAGGAAGGAGAAGGAGGAAAAGGAAGCTAAGGGTTCAGAGACCCAAACACACGAGGGCTCTGCGTGGGGCCAGGGTGTCAGGGACTCACCAGCACGGGTGGAAGGGAGCACAAACAACAAGGGCTGCCCAGCCAGGGGGAAAACACCGGAGGGAAGCGCAGGACAGCGCATTCCCTGGGGCCGGGGATGAATCCCAGCTCCGGGAGGGCTCCCGGGGGCACCGTACCTGTAGTACACGGCCAGGTGTCCCTCCTCGACCCTGTGGATGGCGGAGTACAGCAGGAAGACGAGGAGCCCCGTGGCAGCCGCGGCCGCGGCCCCCGCCTGG